GGTTTTGAACTCCTGAACTTATGCCATCCACCTGCTTTGGCCTTCAAAAATATCGGGATTATAGGCGTGAGCCACTACACCTAGCCTAATTTTTGTATTTTTTAAAGTAGAGACGGGGTTTCACCAACTTGGCAAGGCTGGTCTCAAACTCCTGACCTCAAGTGATCTGCCTGCTTCGGCCTCCAAGAGTGCTGGGGTTACAGGCGTGAACCACTGCTCCCCGCCCAGAAATTTATCATCCTCCCAAACTTCTCCCTTTAAAATACCCATTCCCCATTCTCCCTCCCCCAGCCCCTGGGACCCACCATTCTCCTGTCTCTGTGGATTTGCCTATGCTGGATATCTCATAGAAATGAGATCATAGGCTGGGCACAGTGGCTCATGCCTGTAATCCCAGCACTCTGGGAGGCTCAGGTGGGTGGATCACTTGAAATCAGGAGTTGGAGGCCAGCCTGGCTGACATGGTAAAACCCCATCTCTGCTAAAAATACAAAAATTAGCTTGGCATGATGGTGGGTGCCTGTAATCCCTGATATTCAGGAGGCTGAGGCACAAGAATTGCTTAAAGCCAGGAGCGTGGAGGTTGCGGTGAGCCAGGATTCTGCCACTGCATTCCAGCCTGGGCAATAGTAAGACTCAGTCTCAAAAAAAAAAAAAAAAAAAAAAAGGCCAGGCGCAGTGGCTCACACCTGTTAACCCAACACTTAACAGTTTGGGAGGCCAAAGCGGGCAGATCACCCCAGGTCAGGAGTTCAAGACCAGCCTGACCAACATGGAGAAACCCCATCTCTACTAAAAATACAAAATTAGCTGGGTGTGGTGGTGCACGCCTATAATCCCAGCTACTCAGGAGGCTGAGGCATGAGAATTACTTGAACCCAGGAAGTGGAGGTTGCAGTGAGCCGAGATTGCACCATTGCATTCCAGCCTGGGCAACAAGAGCGAAACTCTGTCTCAAAAAACATAACAGAAAGAAAGAGAGAGAGAGGAGACAGAAAGAGAGAGAAAGAAAGGAGATTACACGATATTTTTCCTTTTGTAACTGGCCTGTTTCACTGAGCTTGATGTCCTCAAGGTTCACCCATGGAATAGCCTGTGTCAGAACGTCCTTACTTTTTAAGGCTGAATCATAGTCTGTGGTATGAATCCACCGAGTTTGTTGATGCATTCATCTGTTGATGGACACTTGGGTTGTCTCCACCTTTTGGCTGTTGTGCAAAACCCTGCCGCGGCCATGGGTATGCAAATTTGTTTTGGAGTCTCTGTTTTCACTTCTAGTTTCCTTCTCAAGCCTTATACAGCTTTGTTGTTGGCTGAAATGATAAGGCAGCAGCTGACCTGTTTCTGGCTTTCCCCGTTACCTCGCTGAGGGCCTGATAATGCAATTTTATAACACCCTTTGAGGTGGGATCAACTCTTTTCTTTCTTTCTTTCTTTCTTTTTTTTTTTTTTTTTAAGACGGGGTTTCACCATGTTGGTCAGTCTGGTCTTGAACTCCCGACCTCAGGTGATCCGCCCACCTTGGCCTCCAAAGTGCTTGGATTACAGGCATGAGCCACCACTCCCGGCCAACTATTTTCTTTTTATAAACAAGGACACTGAGGCTGATAATGGGCCTAGAGTCACCCAGCTTGGGAGGGACAGGATTGTGAGTGGAACCCTCATCCTGCTGTCAGCTGACTGGCTCCAGTTCTAGCAAGTTCTAGACCCTGACTAGGATCAGGGTCAGGAGCCTCAAGGCAAAGGAGGAATTAGACCTTTGAGGAATGTTTTGCCCAGAATGGAAGGAGAGGAGGAGATAACAGTGTTCATATATGTATTATTTATTTATTTATTGAGACAGAGTCTCTGTCTGTTGCCCAGGCTGGACTGCAGCGGCAAGGTCTTGGCTCACTGCAACCTTCACCTCCCAGGTTCAAGTGATTCTCCTACCTCAGCATCCTGAATAGCTGGGATTATAGGCATGGACTACCACACCCGGCTAATTTTTGTATTTTTCTTTTCTTTTCTTTTTGCTTTCGTTTGAGACAGAATCTTGCACTTATCACCCAGGCTGGAGTGCAGTGATGTGATCTCAGCTCACTTCAGCCTCTGCCTCCTGGGTTCAAGCGATTCTCCTGCCTCAGCCTCCCAAGTAGCTGAGATTGCAGGTGCCTGTCACCAGGCCTGGCTAATTTTTGTGTTTTAATAGAGATGGGGTTTCGCCATGTTGGCCAGGCTGGTCTTGAACTCCTGACCTCGTGATCTGCCCACCTTGGCCTCCCAAAGTGCTGGGATTACAGATGTGAGCCACTGCCTCCGGCCAATTTTTGTATTTTTCTTAGAATCTGGCTTTCACTGTGTTGGCCAGGCTAGTCTCAAACTCCTGACCTCAGGTGACCCACCTGCCTTTGCCTCCCAAAGTGCTGGGATTACAGGTGTGAGTCACCAAGCCCAACAGAGGAGATAATATTAATGGTTGTGTTCACTTAGCAAAGAAGAGCTTATTACCTGCCATTCGATTTATCAGTTTTACTCCTTTAAGCCTCATAGCAGCCCTAGGAAGTGGTGAGTACTAGCATTCTCCCCATTTCGCAGAAGGAGAAACTGAGGCCTAGAGGGGTTAAGCCACTCAATTGAGGTTACAGTGCTATGAAGTGATCGAACTGGGGTTTGAATCCAGGCTCTCTGGTCCCCTATTTAGCAGAGAGGAAGGCAGGAGAAGAGAAGACAAGGACAGGTAGGTGTGAGTGGGGGCGGGATGAGATGAGACTTGCTGGCCTGGCACAGTCTCGGCTCAGAACATAGAGAATCCCTAGATCCTGAAACCCAAATCACCTGCTTCTCTGTGTCTTCTTCCATGGACAAAGAAAATGACAACAGAAGAAGACCCAGCCAGCTTGGATGATCACTCAGGGACCACCGCCACCCCCGGCAACTCCAGGACCCGGAAGAGGCCCACTTCCACATCCTCCTCGCCTGAGCCCCCCGAGTTCAGCACTTTCCGGGCCTGCCAGTGAGGCTGAGGACTGGGGGCTCCCTCTGTCTCTGGGCATTCAGGGCCTGAGGTCCCCCCAGCCACTTCTGGGGTGGAGGGGGGGCTCTGTTGGCTGCTTTCTCAGGGAATTGGACAGGAAATGAAGGGGAACCCTGGTCTTAGGGTTTTCATCACAGAGGAGTGGGAGAGGGCACAGGCATGGGCCTGGCACTGGACAGGCAACAAGAAGTTCCTCTCTCGACCTTCAGCTCCTCAAGACCACCAGAGAAGGAGACATCAGGACCCCTTCTGGTCCCCCACCTGGGACATAAGGGGTCCCCGGTCTCTGCACACCCCTGGAGTTCCTCCCTTCCCTGCCTTTTTTGAGCATAGGGTGCCCTTGGGTGTGTTAAGTGTGTCTGCCTGCTGGCTTACCTAAGTTATTAATTATAACACGTGTCAAAGGTGTTCCCAGGCCTCTATAGAGTGGAATCCTTCAAACTGGGGACCTCTGGATCCCATGGCTGGATGGCTGGGGTGGGGGGCGGTGAGACGTACCTGAATTCGCCGCATTTGAAGCACCCTCCCCACGGGCAGTGAGGGTGGTGTATGCGGAGGCTCCTGGGGGTGTGGGGAGTGCAGCAGTGCCATGCCGGGGTCTCTGCAACGGTCCTTAAATTAGGGAGTTTAGCAGGTGGAATGACGGGCACGTAGGGGCGGAGGGGCACGTAGAATGAGGACGCCTCGCAGTGGCTCACAACTGTAATCCCAGCACTTTGGGAGGCTGAGGCGGGCAGACCACCTGAGGTTGGGAGTTTGAGACCATCCTGGCCAACATGCTGAAACCCCGTCTCCACTAAAACACAGTAACAAAAGTTAGCTGGGCGTGGTGGTGCGCGCCTGTAGTCTCAGCCACTCGGGAGGCTGAGGCAGGGGAATCGCTTGAATCCGGGAGGCGGAGGTTGCGGTGAGCTGAGATCGCGCCATTGCACTACAGCATGGCCACAGAGAGAGACGTTGTTTAAAAAAAAAAAGGAATGAGGCGTAAATGAGGTTTCGGGAAGAGTTAAAGCTGGGGTGCTGGGAAGTAGCCCAAGCCCACTGGGTGGCCCAAAAGGGATGGGGCCACCCAAAGCGAGTGGGGATGCAGACACAGGGGTCTGTGCTGCGGGAGAGGGTGCCGGCGCCGGGCTGGAGGAGGGGCTCAGAGAGGAGGGGTCAAGGTTATCTTGTGCGAACGGAGTTAAACTTTAAGGATGAAAAAGGGAGTGTGGGGGGGCAGAGATGATAAGGAAGGGAGGAGGGGCGGTCGAAAGACGGGAAGAGGTCCTTTCAACCAGGCCTCGGTTGCGCCGGGAGGCGGAGGCCCTTCGGAAACGGTCCGTGTCGGGGAGGCCAGGGGGCGGGGCCACAGGGTGGGGGCGTGCCCCAGTGCTGACCACGCCCTTCCCCGCGCGTCCCCAGACCGGGGCGCCTCACAAAGCGAGTCCGGTTGGGAGGGCGCGGGCAGGTACGGGGCAGCGTAGCGGCCGGGCCCCGCCTCCCTGCGGGCGGCCTCACAAAGCCGGGCGGGCCCGGGGGGCGGGGCCCGGCCTCAGGGGCGTGTCCAGGTTGGGGTCGGGAAGCCGCATCACAAAGGGCGGCCGTTCATGCGGGGCGGGGTCCAGGGCGTGTCCGCGCGACCGAGCAAAGCCTCGCCGTCTTCGCGCCCCCGCGCCGCCTCACCCAGCGCGGCCGTTAAAGAGGCGCGGGCTTGGGGGCGGGGCCCAGGCCTCCGAGGGGCGTGTCCGCCCGCCCGAGCACCGCCCCCGACGCACACTCCCGCCTCGCCGTTCCGGGCGGTGGAGCCACCTCACAAAGCGGCGACCGTTCTCGCGGGGCGGGGCAGTCCCGCTCCCCGGCGCGCGCTCGCTCGCTCGCTCGCTCGCTCGCTCGCTCGCTCCCCGCGCCGAGGGCGGCCGGCAGGGGGCGCTGCGCCACGCGGCTGGGCCGCGGCGGCGGTGGCGGCGGCGGCGGCGAGGCGGAGCGTGGCCGGCAGGCGGCGCTGCCCGGCTCGGCCTCGGCCTCGGCCTCGGCCTGCACGGCGGCGGCGGCGGCGGCAGCGGCGGCGGCGGCGACCTGGGCCCGGGCGCAGCGGCGGCGGTGGGGCCTGGAGCCGGATCTAAGATGGCAGCGGCGGCGACGGCGGCGGTGGGGCCGGGCGCGGGCGGCGCGGGGGCGGCGGGGCCGGGCGGCGCGGGGCCCTGCGCGACCGTGTCCGTGTTCCCCGGCGCCCGCCTCCTCACCATCGGCGACGCGAACGGCGAGATCCAGCGGCACGCGGAGCAGCAGGCGCTGCGCCTCGAGGTGCGCGCCGGCCCGGACGCGGCGGGCATCGCCCTCTACAGCCGTGAGTGCGGGGCCCCGGGGCGGGTGCAGGGCCGGGGCTGCGCACGAGGCCGGCCCGGAGCGGGGACCGGCGGGGAGGGGCCCTGGCGTGGGGTCCCAGGGGCCGAGCCGGTGGCCGGCAGGGAGGGCGCGTGGAGGGCGGGTGCCAGGGATCAGACAGAGAAAAGAGGGCGTGCGTGGTGGCCGGAGGGGCGAGGTGCCCAGAGTGAGCAGGGAAGCGGGACATGGGGAGTGAGGGGCCTGAGATTTGGGAGGGGAGGGTGGGCAGGAAGTGGGGGGCCCTGAGTGGAAGGGGAATTTGAAGGAAGCCGGGCGTGGGGAGCTTAAGCGTGGGGCAGGGAGACCTGGGGTGTGGGAGAGGTGGGCGTCTCGGGGGCGGGCGTGGCCGCCTCTGCAGGGAGCAGGGTGGGGCGTGGGCGGCCCGGGATTCTCTCTGGGGACCCCTGGGCAGCTCAGGACCGTCGGAAAGTGTTTGCTTGCCCGGGAGGACCGAGTTCCTCCCCTGTGAAAGGCATGGTGTTTAGGACCCCCGAGAGGGAAACTTCGGGACCTGGGGAGAGGGCCCATGCGTGGACGGTGGGAGCCGAAGGATGAGCTCCTGTTGGAAACGTGGACTGGTGGGGCCCCTTCCTGATGCCGGGCTTCGAAGTAAGAGGTAACACAGCTCCCTCCCATCTTCTTTTTGGGGATGCGAGACGCTGGTTACATTTTCTGAAGCTGATTTCAAAACTGACATTTCACGGGGTGGTGGGGGGGGGAGAAAATCACAAATGTGTTTGCCCCCGCCCCCACCGCTCCTAGTCTTTGTAGTTCATTCTTCTTGTTACTCTTCTTATCTCTTCTCTTTGATTCCTGGTTCACATTTTGCTATTCTGTGTCATTTGGCTTTGTCTCTCTGGGCTTCTGGCACTGATGCCCCTGTGAGCCCCTCAGGAGGCCTCTAGCTGGCTTGGGTCCCGTGTGAATTTTTTGCCATTTTGGGAATGGGCCGATTAACGGAAATCCCGAGGAGCAGTCGGTTCACACTGGGTTTTCCCTGAACCTGGGCTTTGAAAACGTGGACTAAAGGAGCAGTGTCTGCTGCCCAAGGGTGCCATCTCTGTTTGCTGGGGCAGAGCCTGGGTCTTCTTGAACCAGATGAGGAGAAGGGAAGGAGGATATTTCAGGGGGGCTTTCAGAGTTCAAGGCATACACTCAGCTCAGTAGAACCCCAGATCATAAGCAAAACCTATTCACTGGGTAAGCATTGGTAGATAGTTCTGTCCTAAACAGAGCAAAGTGGGGGAGCATTTCTAAAACTAGGGTCCTGGAGCTTATCCTCAAAGGAGTTCCAGGAGAGCTGGCTATCTTTTTTTTTGTTGTTTTTTGAGGAAGATTCTCACTCTGTCTCCCAGGCTGGAGTGCAGTGGTGCTGTCTCGGCTAACTGCAACCTCTGCCTCCTGGGTTCAAGCAATTCTCCTACCTCAGCCTCCTGAGTTGCTGGGATTACAGGCCTACGCCACCACACCCGGCTAATTTTTTGCATTTTATTTATTTATTTATTTATTTATTTATTTTTAGTAGAGATGGGGTTTCACTGTGCTGGCCAGGCTGGTCTCGAACTTCTGACCTCATGATCTGCCTGCCTCACCCTCCTAAAGTGCTGGGATTAACAGGTGTGAGCCACTGTGCTGGGCCCTGGCTGTGATTTTTTTTTTTTTTTTTTTTTTTTTGAGACGGAGTTTCGCTCATGTTACTCAGGCCGGAGTGCAATGGCATGATCTCGGCTCTCTGCAACCTCCGCCTCCTGGATTCAGGCAATTCTCCTGCCTCAGCCTCCTGAGTAGCTGGGATTACAGGCACGCACCACCATGCCCAGCTAATTTTTTGTATTTTTAATAGAGACGGTGTTTAACCATGTTGACCAGGATGGTCTCGATCTGTTGACCTCGTGATCCACCCGCCTCGGCCTCCCAAAGTGCTGGGATTACAGGCTTGAGCCAAGGTGCCCGGCCTTGGATGTGATTTTTAAATAAACCTTAAATTTTTTTTTTTTAGGACCAGGCGCCTTGGACCAACTTGAGGTCAAGAGTTTGAGACCAGCCTGACTAACATGGTGAAACCCTGCTTTCTCTATTAAAAATACAAAAATTAGCCGGGTATGGAGGCATGTGCCTGTAGTCCCAGCTACTAGGGAGGCAGAGGCAGGAGAATCACCCGAACCTGGGAAGCAGAGGTTGCAGTGAGCTGAGCCATTGCACTCCAGCCTGGGAGACAGAGCCAGACTCTGTCTCAAAAAACAACCAAAAAAAAAACCCTTATAGAACAGTTTTAGTTTTATAGATATATTGGAAACATAGGCCTGGCAGAGTAACCTTTTGTGTTTTCTTACTCTTGGAGTAACATTTTGTGTTTTGTTGTTTTGTTGTTACTCTCGAAAGTATTACTTGTTATTAAGACAGAACTTCTCTTTGAGAGGTAATTGCAACGGAAACATTTTTTATCATTAGAAGCTAGGTTTCACTATGTTACTGTGTTGCCTAGGCTTGTCTCTAACTCCTGAGCTCAAGTGATCTTCCTGCCTCCCAGAATGCTGGGATTACAGGTGTGATCCACCCCACTGACCTGAAACATTCATAAAAAGGAGAAAGTCCTTTTCCTCAGAGATCCCTAGTTCCAGATGATACATTCTCAGGGGTCTCAAAGATTGTTTTCCACTTTATCCTTTTTGTTTTTCTTTTTTTTGAGACAAGGTCTCATTCTTTTGTTCAGTGCCGAGACTGGAATGCAATGGTACAGTCTCGGCTCCCTGCAACTTTGACCTCCAGGGCTCAAGCGATCCTCCTACCTCAGCCTCCCAAGTAGTTGGGATCCACAGGCATGTGCCACACCCAGCTAATTTTTTGTATTTTTTTTTTTTTTGTAGAGAAAGGTTTTCACTGTGTTGGCCAGGCTGGTCTCAAACTCCTGGGCTCAAGTGATCCTTCCTTCTTGGCCTCCCATATAGTCTTGGAATTACAGGCATGAGCCCCCACACCGGCCCTCTTTATCCTTAAGTAACTTTGGCTTGGAGATAAAAGCATGGGTTCTTAACCCGGTGCGGTGACTTACACCTGTAATCCCAGCACTTTGGGAAGTCAAGGCAAGTGAACCACTTGAGGTCAGGAGGTTGATACCAGCCTGGCCAACATGGTGAAACCTTGTCTCTACTAAAAAATGCAAAAATTAGGGCCGGGCATGGTGGCTCATGCCTGTAATATCAGCACTTTGGGAGGCTGAGGTGGGTGGATCACAAGTACGTGTGTTCAAGACCAGCCTGACCAACACAGCGAAACCCTCTCTCTACTAAAAATACAAAAAATTAGCTGAGTATGGTGGCGGGCACCTGTAGTCCCAGCTACTTAAGGAGAATCGCTTAAACCTGGGAGGTGGAGGTTGTAGTGAGCCAAGATGGCACCACTGCACTCCAGCCTGGGCAATAGTATAAGACTTTGTCTCAAAAAAAAAATAATAATAATTAGCTGGGTGTGGTGATGCATGTGCCTGTAGTCCCAGGTACTCAGGAGGCCGAGGTAGGAGGATTGCTTGAACTGGGGAAGCAGAGGTTGCAGTGAGCTGAGATTGCATCACTGCATGCCAGCCTGGGTGACAGAGTGAGACCTTTCCCTCCCCCAAGAAAAAAAAAAACATGGGTTCTGGAGTTGGAGGTGATCAATACTGGGTGTATTAATTTCCCATGGCTGCTCTAACAAATTATGACAAATTCATGGTTTAAGACAACAGGAATGGATTCCCTCTCAGTTCGTGGTCAGAAGTCTGAAATCACAATGCTGGCAGGGCCACACTCCCTGGGGAGGTTCTAGGGGAAAATCCTTGCGTCTTCCAGATTCCAGTGGCTCCAGCTGTTGCTTGATTTGTGGCAACAAACCTCAGTCTCTGCCTCTGTCTTCACCCCTGTGTCTTGTGTCCTCTTCTTTCCTTTTTTTTTTTTTTAAATTTTTTATTTTATTTTATTAAAAAAATTTTTTTATAGAGATGGGGTTTCACCATGTTGGCCAGGCTGGTTTCGAACTCCTGACCTCAAGTGATCTGCCTGCCTCAGCCTTCCAAAGTGCTGGGATTACAGAGGAGAGCCACCATGCCCAGACTTTTTTTTTTTTTTTTTAAGTGAGATGGAGTCTTGCTCTATTATAGGCTGATCTCCTAGGCTCAAGTGATCCTCCCACCTTAGCTGTTCTTTTCTTATAAGGACACTGGGCATTGGATTTAGGGCCCACTTTATATATAGGATGATCTCATCCCAAGATCCTTATCTGCATTACAACTTGGATATCTGTCTTTCCTTCTTTCTTTTTTTTTTTTTTTTTTTTTTTTTTTTTTTAGACAGAATTAATTTTACTCTTTTTGCCCGTACTGGAACACAGTGGCAAGGTCTCGGCTCACTGTAACTTCCACCTCCCCGATCCAAGCGATTCTCCTGCCTCAGCCTCCCAAGTAGCTGGGATTACAGACATTTGCCACCATGCCTATCTAATTTTTATGTTTGTTTTTTTTTTTTTTTTTTTGAGACGGAGTTTCGCTCTTGTTACCCAGGCTGGAGTGCAATGGCGCGATCTCGGCTCACCGCAACCTCCGCCTCCTGGGTTCAGGCAATTCTCCTGCCTCAGCCTCCTGAGTAGCTGGGATTACAGGCATGCGCCACCATGCCCAGCTAATTTTTTGTATTTTTAGTAGAGACGGGGTTTCACCATGTTGACCAGGATGGTCTCGATCTCTTGACCTTGTGATCCACCCGCCTCAGCCTCCCAAAGTGCTGGGATTACAGGCTTGAGCCACCGTGCCCGGCTAATTTTTATGTTTTTAGTAGACACTGGGTTTCACCATGTAGGCCAGGCTGATCTCAAATTCCTGGCCTCAGGGGATCCGCCCACCTCAGCCTCCCAAAGTGCTGGGATTACAGGTGTGAGCCACCGTGCCTGGCCTATAATTAATTATTGACTGTGGTCACTTTGTTAAATACT